GAACTGGTAAGATACTACAACCAATTCAAAGGAGAAGTCAAGGAAGAGAGACATATGTTTATAAGATTAAGGAATTTTGAAGCAGATTTCCAAATAGACGGGAAGCAAGTCTAGCTGCAGGGTAATAATCAATTGCATTTCATCAGATACAGTTAGTATGCATTGCTATAGATAAGAATAATTTGAATTCTTATTAGTTTTCACCAACGTACAGAGTTGCAAAATAGCTCAAAGATAAAGGTGAAGAGAACCTCAATGGGTAAGCTAGATTTTTTTTTCCTATTTCAGATTCTTTCACAATTTCTCCTAATAATTCACAATTATTCACAATCTCCTAATAATTTCACAATTTTCTCCTAATAATCCAAATTTCTTTGAACCATTCTTCCAAACCCAAGTGTTGCTTTTAGAGCCTGAGTTATGGGGGGGGGGAGAAGTAACTTAGGTTTCCTGACTTTTTTACTGAGATGTTAAAGAAACCTTTATCTGTGGTTCAGAGATACCTATAGTTTCACTCTGGTTTCTTTCTTTCTTTCTTTCTTTCTTTCTTTCTTTCTTTCATTCTTTTTCAAATTGATGTGAGCTCTACTATGGAATATTTCAAGTTTATCTAGATGCCTGAGTTATCTCCAAGACCCTTTCAGGTGTCCATAACATCAACATTTTTTTCAAAATTTTTTTTGCCTTTTTATTTTATTTTATTTTTCAGTGTTCCCAAATTCATTGCTTATGCACCACACCCAGTGCTCTATACAATATGTGCCCTCCTTAATACCCACCACCAGGCTCACCCAACCCCCTCCAAAACCCTCAGTCTCTTTCTCAGAGTCCATAGTTTCTCATGGTTTGTCTCCCTTTCCAATTTCCCCCAACTCACTTCTCTTCTCCATCAAAGTTATTTTTGTAATAAAACTAAGACATGTGCCAGACTTGTGCCTTTTTCAAAACTGTTGATTGACATTGCACTCCAAATACAAAAGTCACAGGAGATAAAATTTCTGGCACCTAGTGTCATGGTAGGAGCCCCAATTATACTCTGTCATTTTATTCTACTCAAAGTAAAAATGAACACACACGTAAAATGTCCTAATTCTGCAGTAAAATGAATTAATTTTTAAAATTCTCAATCCTTGTCTATGTAACTTTGTAAAGTGCTGTGCATAAAAGGGAAGGTATACCTAAAGCAAGTTGGCTGCATGCCAATATAGAATAGCTGCCTTGAGGAAAAGTGCTTGTGCAATTTTCTTAAGTTGCTAGTTAAAGTAGCCATTGTGAAACATGACTTGAAAAATGACTAAAAGATAATCTGTAGTTATTCAGACTTGAGTATTTTGCAGCCATTTTCTCAAAAACTAACAAAGTAAGCCTATCATTTTGAGGAAAGCAGCTGACCGTCTTTGATTCCTAATCATTCCGGATGATAAAAGTCAAGCTTTCTAGTAAAAATTAGAATATGGGAAAACTTAGATTCTTCACAGTGAACTTCATAGCTTCACAATACTTTCTGATGAGTTCAATTGTAATAGTAATTCATGTGATTTTTTTATTTTTTATTTTTTTATATTTTTTTTTGAAAGCTCTCCATAACCCAGTGAATCCACTTTTTTCAAATAACCAATAAAAGGTGTTACAAAATCATGCAAGGGTGCAATATTAATTTAAAATATAAGAAAGACCAATGGAATTTTAATGTAAGTTTTAATGTAACAGGATGTAAAGACTATTACTATAGTTCCAGATTCCATGTTTCAGTTATACTTTAAGGAACTACCACTTGTCCAATCTTTGTATGTGTAAAAATCATTACCTTTTTCTAGTCACATTCTCTGTGACACCAGAGTTCATGTACTTCAACCAAATCAACAGTTCACAATAGATTAAATATAGAAGAAGATATGAGAATCTAATAACTTTTATTAAGCTTAAGTTGAAGATTATTGTAAAAGTATAGAATAATCCTCCTCTATTTTATTTTTGTTTTAGAAAGTATAATTACTTTTCACAAACTATGTTATGCAGGTTAATATGTAAGGGATTTTACTACTGCTATTTTCAAATAAGCTAACCAATAAATAATTGAACAATTTCTGTTTTAAATATTATTTTTCAGTTTTAAATTCTAATCCAATACTAAAAGAGGCAAACCACAGTGCCTGGGTGGCTCAGTTGGTTAAGTGTCATCTGACTCGTGATTTCAGTTCATGTCTTGATCTCACAGTTGTGAGATGGAGCCCTGCATAAGCCTATGCACTGGGCGTGAAGCCTCCTTAATATTCTCTCTCTCCCTCTGCCCCTCTCCCACTGCTTGCTCCCTAAATAAAGAAAGAAAGAAAGTTGCAAACCATGTTAACAAAAGCTCTTTGGGGTTACTCAATAGATTTTAAATTTATTAAAGAGTTCTTAGATTAAAATACATAAACAATATGATTTTGCTTTAAGGAAAAATTCCCTCTCTATATATCTGTCCATTTATCAACCTTTATATCTATAGTGGTATTCACCAAGTCCTAATGCTGGCCAAATTTTTTTTTGTCTTTTTTTAAGAAAGTGGGCCAGTGGAGGACAGGGATACCAAGGAAGAGGGAGAGAGAATCTTAAGCAGGCTCTAGGCCCAGCATGGAACCCCATGCAGGGCTCAATCTCATGACTCTGAGATCATGACCCAAAGCCTAAATCAAGAGTCAGTGGCTTGACTGAGCCACCCAGGTGTTCCTAATGATGACCATTTTCAAGGGTTGTAATTTCAGTTTGGTTTAGTATACTTTTAAAGTTTTTTTTTAATTATTAAAATAAAATTTGTCTAAAATACATATACTCACAAGCATAAACAAAAGAAAAAAGTAGGTAATATATACTCAAAAATATTAAAAATATATATTTCACAAATATCTGAGAATTCAGTAAATACATAACAAGAATTATTTGCTTTGATAATTTTGGATCAATTGGAAACTAAGAGAGGAAAAAATGAAAATTTACCGCCGATTAATTCTTGACCCAACCAGATAATCCAGGGTAATCTCATCTCAAAATCTTTAATCACACCTACAAAGTGTCTTTTGCCAAATAAGATTAACATTCACAGGTTCCAACAATTAGGACATGACTATCTTTGCTGGCTATTATCCAACCTACCACAAGCTACTGCTTCATATTATGTACAAAAATCAATTCTAGATACCATACAGATGTTAAAACGAAGCTTACAAAAGATAATATAAGAAAATAGTTTTATGATTTTAAAGAATGCAAAGATATCCTAAAGGTTACATAAAAGTCACTAATTACAACCATGAAGAAACAATAAAAATACTATGCTAAAATTAAGACCATATGCTCAACAAAACTCAAACTTAAGCAATTGGCAAGACAGTCCTCAGAACTGGAGTATCTTCAGTAAACATGGTTAACAAAGAGCTTATATGCTAAACACACACATATATGAATATAGATCTAAATATTAAATATATACATAGATAGAACTCTAATCAGTCAAGAGAAAGCAAACAACCAAATAGAAATGTAAGAAATACAAACAGATTTCACAAAAGAAGATATCAAAATAGCCACTAAACATGACAATATGCTCAACTTCCCTATTATGAGGAAAAATAAAAATTGAAGCTACAACAAAATAAACACAGAGTAGTTAAAATCTGCAAGGCAACCATAACAAGGGTGGTGAGACTGGATTATCTGGAACTCTTACTGCTGGTAAGGAATTAAATCAAAATTATTTTGGAAAACTGGAAGTAGCTATTAATCATTCAACAATTCAGCTTTTGTTTATATACACAACAGAAATGCATATGCTTCGCTCAGCACAAAAGGCACATACAAGATTATCATTAGCAACATTATTCATAATAACCAAAAACTGGGATGGGAGGAGGATGTTCATCTATGGAAGAAAGAATAATTGGATTGTAAATATTCGATAGAATATTATAAAGCAATAAAAATGAATGAATTTTAGCATAGGTGCTATCTCTCAAACATAACACTGAGCAAAAGTAGGCACAACAGAATATATACAGTCAGTATGCAGTATGATCCCAATAATACAAAATTTTAGATTGGGCAAAATTTATCCTACCTGTTAAGCATCAGGATGGTGATTACTTTTGGAGGAGGAAAGAACAGAGTGAGTGATAAGACTTTTGACAATACAGATAACGTTCTTTTGAGATAATGTTCTTCTGATCTATATGTTCAATATTTGTGTGATTTTTATGTGAGTTATACTTCAATTAAAAATGTTAAAAACTATGTGCTTACAAGACATATGCCTAAAGTTTGTTATTAAATGAATAGAAAGGTAAATAAAGCTACTTAGCACTTTATTTCATTTTAAAAAATAAAGCTAGGGCTATATAAATACTCATATGTGTACAGATATATGGTGGAAAAGAACACCTCAAGGTGGGAAAAGAATCAGCTGGAGGAAGGGAAGTGTTTTTTCTTTATATATTTCTTTATCATTTAAATCTTTGTGAAATACACATTAAATTTAAAATACAGATGATTAACAATAATAATAAACCAAATTATGTAATACTCAACAGGTGCCAGACACTTTTCATTTATTATTTAATTATCATAGTAGTTCTAGTAATTACTTGCCCTCCTCATCCCTTTATAATGTATGAGGAAGTTGAGGCTCAGAATAATAGCATCTTGCTATTAAGAAACAGAGTCAGAAAGTTAATCTCATGTGAAGTCAGTGCTGTTAATTCCTGTGGAAAATAATTCTAATATATTATTATTATATCGTATATATTGTATACAATATATCATAGATATTGTATATAATATATCATATATATTGTATATAATTCTAATATAGTATTATTATATTGAATAATTTAATAACACTCCTACCATCTTACCAAATCATTACTCCTTAAGGGCAAAGATTGTGTTTGTTGAAAGAATAATTATTATTGAATAAAATATAAACCTAATCACTAATTTAATGTAATGTTTGTTTTTAAAGGTAGTGAGAAGAATATTGGGCAACACTTTCTTCATTTATTTCTCGTGGAAGGAAGGCCCACAGTTAAATATGGATGTGGAAGTTCTCAAAATATCTTGACTCTTTCTGCTAGTTATAGAATTAACACAAATGTCTTCATCCCTATCACAGTACGGTAAGTCCTCCACAGTAATTCTTTGAATTATAGTGCTGAGCCTTATTTTTTAAGTGTTATTTGTATGTATAATATCTACCACATATGAAAAGAAAGACAAAAAAACTTTCCATCTGAAAGTTGTTTTGCCAATCAATTTTTTTTTATTAACATGTAATGTATTATTAGCCCCAGGGGTACAGGTCTGTGAATTGCCAGGTTTACACTTCACAGCACTCACCATAGCACATACCTTCCCCAATGTCCATAACCCAACCACCCTCTCCCTACCCCCGTCCCCCCAGCAATCCTGTTTGTTTTGTGAGATTAAGAGTCTCTTATGGTTTGTCTCCCTCCCGATCCCATCTTGCTTCATTTATTCCTTTCCTACACCCCAAACTCCCCACATTGCCACTCAACTTCCTCATATCAGGGAGATCATATGATAATTGTCTTTCTCTGTTGCCAACCAATTTTTTTCAGTTTGATGGAGTATTAACTCCATCAAGTTAAATTAAGGTATAATTTGATACTGCCCAATGCCAATCAAATTATATACAAAATGAATTGATTTCTTTGAAAATATCAAGGAGCAAATACATAGGTTGAAGAGTTATGTGGTTCAGTTGAAATTAAGATCTAGTTCAGGGTGCCTGGGTAGTGCAGTCGCTTAATTGTGGAACTCTTGATTTTGGCTCTGGTCATGATCTCAGGGTGGTGAGATAGAGCTCTAGATTGTGAGACAGAGCCCAGCATGGGGCTCCAAGCTTAGCAGGGAATCTGCTTAAGATTCTCTCTCTCCTCTCTCTGCCCCTCCCCGCCTCTCTCCTCATTTTGGAGGAAGGTAGGAAGGAAGAAGGGGGAGAAGGAGGAAAGGAAGGAAGGAAAAGAAATTAAGATCAAGTTCATTTATTTAACAAAATATCTTCTGAGTGAAAATAGCTGCTCAGAATGGGGGATAAGGGTAGTAGCCATTGACTCTGCACAGAAAAAAAAAGAATCCGGTAGAGGAAAAATGAATATTAATTGGAAATTTCTTCCCAGGGCATATAAACTTTTAGAAGGCAGTCTTGAATTTAATTCATACTTCAGAATTAGGACGTCTCAGAAGAGAGAAATGGCTAAATATGAGGGTCACATCCCAAGGGCATTACTGAACAAAATTTACATGTAGCAGCCAAGAATTTAAAATTCTTCATCAGTACAGCAATCTAGTGATAATGTTCTCTAAAGTTACTCTGTGTCAGTTAAAAATAACATTTTGTGTCTGAGTTTATACATTAGATGACAATTGTATACTTTAGTTTGATTAGCAGCAATCATGGCTAACCTGTGAAGGTTATATAAATCAAATAAGCTTTCCCAGGGTCTGTATCAATCTGCAAATAAAATCAAGGAAATTGACACCAATCTGAAAATGGAAACTCCTTCCAGGCAGGGACAGTATCTTACTCATTTTTAATGCAGTTTGTAGGGCATCTGACAGAAAGATGCTCAGTAAATGTTTGAACGAATGAAGAAATGAGAGTATCTGGGCTGGGCAGTTCAGTTGGTTATGGCAAGAAGGCAACGAAATTACCCTAAGGCAATGAAACTATTATTATATAAATTAGGCAAGCCCTTTTAGAACAGAGAGTTGTGTACAGCCAAAGCAAATTTTCAGAGCCACGGACTTAACTCTTACTTTAATCATCTGTCTTACAAAGGGTGCAGTTGGTCACAAAAAAAGAGCCAGATGAGAAGGTGAATAACTTAGAAACCAATTTAAAAGCCATTTTGACTGATAACACCATCATTTTATACAATGTAATCATTTCATGCACATTTGATCACATATGAAGTAATTTCTGTTTTGATCAAACTTTCTTAAAGGGATGATTTCATTCTTTGCCTTTAAGTAATGAATACCTAGGTAGGCTGTCTTCAAACCATGCAGAGCCTTAGGCAGACTGAGGTTGAAACCATCCTTCAAAAAAATACTGACATGTCTAGTAAAACTAAAAACTGAGGGCTTTCCAAATCTTTCAATTAAGTTTATTCAGAATTTAAAAAGCAAGAAAGAGATATCTCTACTGACACAAAAATGCAAATCTGCTTTGTCTTATAAGGAGCATCCCACAAGACCTTAAGGTGACAATAAGTTACATTAAAGACTGACCTAGGACAGTATTATATTATATATTATATAAATCATTTAAATTTATGTAATAAATATGAATAACAAGTATATATTAGGTAACTCTTCAATAAGTTTTACTGTTAAAGTATAAAAAGAAGTAAGGTCATAACTAGAGGTGAGAAGTCAAGAGGTGGATAGATAAGAGACTTGAGCATGTTTAATTATGGATTGGACTTACTAGTTGAGTGGAAGGTGTTAGCACATAGAAAAATAATGAATAATTGAAAATGTAAAGTCCCCTAGAAATTTATAGTGATGAGATACAATCCACATGAGAGAAGATTCCTGCCAGAGGGGAGGGAAAATGGAAAAGACACACACATTGAGACTTCTGATTTCTGTTTTTTTGTATGTCCCTCGATCTGTGACTGTCTTTTGCTTGATCCCAATCAGTTTCTATCTGCTTGATCCCCATCTATCCCCTCTCAGTTGTTTACATCACCCTCTCTCTTCATCTTTCCTGCTCCACTCCTACTTCTCCGTTCTTAACTGGGCACAAGTTAGAATTAAAAGGGTCTTTTGGTACAGCTCTTTCTAGCTATCCTAATTCTCTCTAATGGGACACCTGTTATTGCAAACTCAGAACAAATTGGTCCCTAAAATGTATGTGAATTAAGGTCCTTTTTAATTATATGAATGTTGTTGGAATTTCTTCTATATTTAAGGGTCCCTGAGAACAAAATGCCATAGCATGATGGATAAGGACTTATTTTCAAAAGTTAGTAGAATTGAGCTCTAAGGTAAATATATAAAAGATGACTTTGATTTTTATTTTGTTTTTAGCCACTGAGAATAAACATGAGAGTATTTCCTCCTACTAAATTTGCATTGTACCTGCAGATAGATGGCAGAAGTAGAACGAACTTGAATAAACCACCTGTAGTGATACAGGTCAATTCAGTATCAAGATAGAAGTTCTTCTTAAATGAAATGGAGCAGAGATCACAGCTCTACAGATAGATTGTAATTCATACTCATGCACAGTTTGTCTTTCATTTCAACAAATTTTGAAAGGGATCACATAGAGAGAGTCTTAGTTTTCACAAGGGTTATTCTCCTTTGGGGAAGTTCAGAAAAATTGTCTTACCATATATATATACTTTTTAAAGTTTCTGAAGTTTAAATTTTTCTGCCACCTTTTGTGTCTCTCCTATATAAAAGCTGACTCTTTATTCAGCATTTTGTTCTGTAAAGAAGTCCTGTGTCATTTCCTCTAGGTAACGTACTGTGTTATTACCTGCATGTTTTAAATCCACACAGCCTATTCTACCTTCCTTCCTTATCTACCTACCAGCCTGTTCTTCCTTCTACCTTAGGTTTCTCAAAGACTTATCCAGAGGTGTAGCATTATCCATGTATATCTAAGACACATTCCAGTATCTAGTGATTCATAGTTAACAAACTCTTAAGGTAGCCAATGCCAAATGAATTTTGACCAAGAATTGGGTGAGAACTACACATCCCAATCAACAACTTTTGAGTAACTGATTAGTGTAAAGGAATGCATGCATGGTTTAAGATCAGTTGAACAGAGGCTGTTCAAGTTTCTAATAGTTGGGCAGTAAGAACCTTAGAACTTGCTCAAACTCAAACATCAGATAAAACCATTGCAAGCACTTTTGACATAACAACTTGTGCGATATTTGGTCCAGTAAACAAAATAAACTGATAAAAACTGCTGCTGAGTTTTGTCAGTGGACTGATTTTGACCTCCTGTTTGATCTTACTAATTTCTCTGAGATAAAAAACCTCATATAGGTAGAGGTATATGTATCTGTGTGTGTTTTTGTGCTAATGTGAGTACCTATCTGTGCAAACTACTCTTTATTTTTTAATTAACACATTTCCCACCACTGTTTGATTAAGAAAATAGAAAATAAATTTATATAATGCAAAGCTAACATTAAAAACATTAAACTTAAAGAATGGGAAATAAAAAGAATTCTGAGTAGGATTGCTTTTGACTATAACAAATGAAGAGATTTAATGGTGAGTAATTTATGAAAAATAAGAAAGGAACAAATGACCACTTCTTATAATACCTACATGTATTGCCAAAGGCCTTTCAGACAACTCTGCTCAAAATTGACTTACAGCACATTGCCATTTTCCCCATGTAAATTCTGTGTATTACAACTTGTCACCCAGCTGGTATTCACCTATAACTCCATATAGAGAATGATCAGAAGACTACCCAAGTTTATAAAGAAGAAGAATACCCATAATGTATTATAAGCTCTAATTTTGGGAGTAACTCAAAATGTCTCTTATATCTCGATTTTCTAAAATGTGAAAGTTTTTCACACATTCTTGATATTTAATATTATATAATCTATGGATTGCATGCCTTTAGTCTTAGTGCCCAGAAACTCTGTAATAGCAAGAACCTTACTTCTTAAAACAGATGGTGACTTTTGAACTGTGCTAAATCTATAAGATATTAGATTTATTCATAAAACGTTGCCATGTCAATATGGAAAGTTTGGCAAGCTTTTCATCTTAAAAAGGTCAAACTTCATCACTTCAATATTAATTTCTGTATCTTTTCCACCAACACTTCCATCTGGTATTTCTTAGAGGAAATGTAGGAAAACTGTAGCCAAATATGGGAAATATAGCATAATACTTTATAATTACATTGACTTGTACCTAAATACATATATCGAAACATTGCTCCTTTATCCATATGTTACACACTAATCATACATAACATGTCCAATACTAGCTGGACAGCAAATTATGATATAATTTATTCATATATTGAATAGGGACTAGCCACTATAAAAACAAAATTTCTTTCATTAAATAAATTTAGTTTAAGAAAATCTTTCAGAAGTCTGTG